ATATATATATATACATGCCATGATATGAGCTTGAGTCTTAGGATCAGTAGATAGGGTGCGAATATTGACAGGGATGTGTAGTTTGATATAGTGTGGTTGTGTGCCCCGATAGGTCTAGGTACTCATGCCCACTATATGTGCGTTTTGCATGTTGCCTACTACTTAGGTTGAGGCAACCCTATAGTCTAGTGAGGTTCCTTTAGTGTGTGTATGTAGTATGGACTATATACTTCTTGCATGGGTTAGCTATAGATATATAGTTTATCTGGTCTCTGTTTGGGTTGTCGTAGAAATAATTTGTTCATGGCCCTGACCTACTATTATTATTTTTCAGATGTTCATCAGTTTCAGACACATGGCTTGTTTGTGCTGAGCAGAGGCAGTCCACATCATTCTTCCAATTATACGTAGGATTCTCTTTATGTTTTAGTGTTAGGATTATGTTTAATTTCAATTGTTTCAGTTTGGTTATCATTAGGGGTCCACTAGATGGATTCCTGAGTTATAATGATATTAAAGGTTTTTGATATTTCATTCGGAGGATTAATTATTTATTAAGTTAAATATTTATTTATTCTTAGTTATTTCTTTTGTAATCAAATGCTTGTTTAAATACTTAATTGTTTGGTATCCCTTGGATCTGTGCTCAAACTTGATCACCCGTAACTCTAGAATCGAGGGGTATCACACATTTATTCTAACATCAATTTTTATTTTTATTTTATTTATTTATTTATTTTTCCAAGTTGTATTTTTTTCATTTTTAATTTTCTCAAGATATATATACCATGACCAATATTTTAAAACAAATTATATTACAATTGATTTATAAGTGTTTATTTTATTTTATTTTTGTACATAATTCAAATCCGGCCCCCCAACCTTAAATTCCTGGCTCCTCCCCTGCTTTTGGAGTCAATCTATGCATAGTTTTTTAAAAGGTCGCAAGTTACAATCCTCTGTCATTGGAGATCGTACGGTACCTATTCAAGCCAAATAAGAGGCATCAGATGCCTATGCAACATGCGTCGAAGACTGGAATAGTAACAATCACAAGATCATCACATGGTTACGCAACACATCTAATTCTTCCATTGGTGTGGAATTTTTGAGTTACGTCACAGTTAAGGAGGTCTGTTACATGCTTGCCTCTCGCTACTCTGGTTCTGATGGGGCTCGACAATTTCAAATAATAGTTAAACTCTCTACTCTTAAACAAGAATCAGGTCAACGAATTAATGAATTATTCTATCAAATGAAATGCTTATGGGATCAATTAGCTCTTTCCAGACCATCATTGGAACATTCTTCTAAAGTAAAGAAATTTCTCGAGTATCGCAACCAGATTTAACTTTATTAGTTTCTGATGAGTCTTCATGATGATTTTGAACCAGTACGTAGTTAACTTCTCCATCGTTCACCTCTTCCCTCACTTGATCAAGCTCTCAATTAACTTGTACGAGAAGAGACGTGCTTGTAGACTCGTCGTTCCCATAATCATCTCATTGTGTTAGCCACACCCTCTTCTGCTCCTCAGTCAGTACCATCTCAGCCAGCACCAGATCGCCCCGCCTCATTTTTCCAACATAACTTACGCAAAAATAACAAACAATCTGGCTCTAATGGAAGTAAAAATAATAATCGATCAGGTTTTGATACCGTGTTAAATATAAAAGAGGGAGAGAAATGTATATATATTGATGTGTGAAATACGAAGATACATAAGAGTTTATATAGGTGACGAGATGTGTAGAGAGTAAGAAACCTAAACCCTGTATAGTAAACATATACATGGTTAGAATATACAATATATTCTAATAATGCCCAAGAATAAGAACTTGCTTGTGTCTCGTGGAACGTGGTACTTATTGTAGACGCATGCAGTTTAAATGGGATTGCAAATGAACTTAATTGTTATTAATAGTTTAGGCTTAGCTCGACTTATTCGTTAAGCAAGCAAGTCAAGCTCGAGTTCAATTTATAGGCTCGTTTAGTAAGCAAAACAACTCAAATAGTGTAACAATTGGCTTGTGTAGACTCATTTATGTTCATAAATATAAGTTCGTATAAGACTCGTATATGTTCGTGAATTGTAGCTCGTATATGTTCGTGAATTGCAGCCCATTATATGGCACTTTTATATTTGTTTTCTTTTTTATTAAAATTCTTTAATTCTTGGAAGTACAACATAAAAAATTACAGAGTAATGATTTACTAAATGAATTTTGACAAGCTTAAAATCGAGCATGAATATTTTTAAATACGAGTTCAATTTGCTTTTTTTAAACGAGCTGAGCGTAATCTTTTAAAATCACAACAAACTCAAACACGAACTCTAGTTTTTGAACTTGTCACAATCTCAAGCTAAACTTATAAACAAAAAAATATTTTATGAAAATTCAATTATAAAAATGTATGGTTGAAAACTATAAAAAAAATATAATCTTTTAAAAAAAATTTAAAACTGTTTTCGGAGTTTAGGTCCTAAATTTTCTACTATACCATCTCATTCGATATTACTTTGTGGTCCATGCACGAAAAGTTAGCACCCCTGCTGGATAATACTTCAATACAATATCAATTATATGGTGTTTACTATTGCATGCACTAATATGTACGTATATTTTAACAATATTGTATAAAAAAGAAAAAGATAAAGAAAAAACAAAAAACAAAAAGAAAAAGAAAAGCTTAATTTACAATAAATATATATAGAAGTTTTTATTTATTTATAACAAATACATATGTTTTTATTCTCTCTTATTGTTTATATATTTTTGGATAATATTTAGGTCCTCAACGGTGAGGATGTGTACCATTATGACCACTGAGATGTTTTTATTCTCTCTTATTGTTTATATTTTTTTGGATAATATTTAGGTCCTTAGCAGTGAGGATGTGTACCATTATGGTAAATTAGATGGTGATAATATAATATTTGAATATGTCATCTTTACTTATCGAATCAGACATGGTGGAATTATATATTCACTTACCAATCAAATTTGGTAGATTAATTACCATTTTTAATTAAATAAATAAAAGAAACGGGTTTATATGTTATTGGTATGTGTATATATATATACAGCAAACGACCTAAATATTATATATATATATATATATATATATATATATATATATATATTTTTTTTTGGCGGGCACCGGAACTCATTTGGGCAGGGCCTCTTCGGGACCCATCCTAGGCTACAAACCGGGGATACTATCGACGACATCACACCTCAGCAACAATTTTAATTGAGGGTTATAATGGCGATGGACAGGTTCGAACCTGAGACCTGTGGATGTCCAAGTCGTTACCTTACCAACTCGGTCCTAAATATTAAATATTGTTCTTACGTTTACCACCTAAATATTGTTCTTATTTTTTAGGGTAAAATGCAAGAAACCCCGCTGGACTATGGGGGTTTTGCAACTAACCCCCCTGGACTACAAAAAACCCCCTTGGACTTTGATTTTGTTGCATATTACCCCATCAAGTCACCGAAAAAGGTAAATGACATTTTTGCCCTTATTATGAAGCTACACCGTTTAAAGCATTGTCATATTAATTTGCTGACGTGGCAAAAAAAATCTCAACAGCCAATGGGATATTGACAGCACACCAAAGATAGGTGGTGAAATTTCAACGTAACCACCTTCAGTTGGAATTCGCATTCGCCGGTGGCTACTAAAACTGCGGAAGCGAATTCGTTGAGAGAGAACATGAGTCACCATCGGTCATGGATTTGCGAAGTTCGCGATGTGAGCTTTGGCAAAGAAGAGACTAGAAAAGGCGGACGCATTGTGTCTAGAGTCTAGACCAGAGACTTGTCGACGTCGGTGGCGAGATGAGGTCGGCGTTGTCCTTGGTGGCGGTGAAAAAATTGGATGTAGCTTGGACCTCCAAGGCTAGAATTTATGCATACTTTTCTGGCAATAGTTTAAGAGATCGGCGGGTTGTGAACTGAGAAGAGACCCGGAGAGAGAGGAACAGGTCGCCGGCGATGGGGCTTACTGGTGCGGCGACGGCAAGGCAGAGGGTCGCACGGACGGATCGGCGGCGATTGGCTGCAGCTGAACAAGAATGACTGGTGATGATGGCGATGGCGGCTGGTTGAACAGGTTGTCGAAGATTGTTAAAAAGCATAAAACGGGTTGTCGGACCATTACTCTCAATGGCAGTGAAGAAATTGGATGTAGCTTGGACCTCCGAGGCTGGAATTTATGCATACTTTTCTGGCGATAGTTTAAGAGATCGGTAGGTCGTGAATTGAGAAGAGACCCGGAGAGAGAGGAATAGTCGCCGACGACGAGGCTTACTGCTGGTGCGGCGACGACAAGGCAAAAGGTCGCACGGACAGATACGCGGTGATTGGCTGCAATATTTTGTCTCCTTTTTGATCAATTTGAAAATTTATGGGATGCTTGAAATACTTCCGCATCATGACGTTCGTGTTCACTGGCAGTTCTTGCTTCTCGCCATTCCGTCCTCTGTATAGTCACCGGACCATTCCGTCCTCTGTGGTACAGTTTGATATGAGGTGAATCGATGATCTTGTCTTTACTAGATTTTAATGAACTCATCCTTGCCGTAAAACCATACGATCCCCCAAACTAGGAAATTGAGAATGCTTTAAGACCTTCGCGTGTTACAGGGACGATTCAGAGAATCAGAGTTGTGGATTTTGGGAAATTTTGTTAAAGGATTGTTTGGTCGGTGTTTTAAAATTAAGGGTATTATTGTCCTTTTATGCTTCTATGGGCAGTATGGTCATTTAAATTTAAGAAACTAATTTTAACGGCCATATATCACCGGACGTTGAACGGACGGAGTGATCTGCAACAATTTTGCATAGTTTAGGAGGTTTCTTGCATTTTTGAAAGTTCAGGGGGTTATTTATAGATTTCTCCATAATGCGGGGGGGTTTCTTGCATTTTACCCTATTTTTTATAAGTAGATTTGTACTTCATGCCAGTGTTAGCAAAAAGTCTCAACAGAGTTGCCACTGCAAAAATCAATCACAAACACGTACAATATTTTGTGAGTGAGAGCAGAGTAGAGAAGCCCACACCCGCAAGAAACTCTATCTGGTCGTTGAGGCGTCACCGAATCAATCATCGTCATAATCACAGCACCGTCGATCACAACAAACCCATCATCCATGGCGGTAATTTTTTCAGATGTTTTTGATCAATTCCATTTTTGAAATTCTCAAGATCTCATCCCGATTTTCTCTCTTTTTTTCTTTCTGACAAATATTTTCCCCAACATTTTCTGGAAAAAGTGAGACTGAAACCGAGGGTTTTCGTTTTTGGTGATTTTATTTTACAGGATTCCTCCGGGACGACGCTGATGGATCTGATAACTTCTGACCCGTCGACGGCATCGGCGGCTCCTCCTCCTCCTCCATCGTCGTCGGTGGCATCTTCCGCTCCACTGCCGCCTTCCGTGCCTTCGGGCAAGTCGGGGCAGCCGGATCGGAAATCGAAGAAGACCACTCTGATGCAGATCCAGAATGATACCATTTCTGCTGCCAAAGCTGCTTTGAATCCAGTCAGAACCAACATCATGCCCCAGAAACAGAAGAAAAAGGTACCAATTTCAGTTCATATCTCTTTCTACCTCTGTATACACGCATGTAAGTAGATGTATATATTTGTGTGCTTTACTTGTAATTTCCAGAGAGTTAATTTAAAATTTTTGTCATATATTTTAAATATTAGCTCTACGTTTGTAGTTCATTGAGCTTTAAGAGACACACTAGCAATCAAATGTGTCTCGCATTTGATACATTTTGTTAATCTTCCATAATACAAAACTCCTCCCAACCGATCCGCAGATGTTCGATGGCTTAATTGTATCTAGTTCTCTCTATTTCTATATCTCTCTGTCTCGAAAAGGGAACAACACAAAACATTTGATTACAAAATTCATTATACTATGTTTTTAGTTAAATCCAAATTGAGCATTCAGGCACTTAAAAGATTATTGAGTTGTGGATTATGATTAATTTTTTAACAAAATATTTTAATGACTTTGTTTTAATTTTCTACTTCAAATGTACGTGATCGTAGGTAATATAATTGGATGTTAAGTTCAAATTATATAGTGTTTACTGTAACTACATTTATTCTTTTGCAGCCAGTTTCTTATGCACAACTTGCTCGGAGTATTCATGAACTAGCGGCTACAAGTGATCAAGTACACATTCTTCTACCTCCCATTCTTTACGTTACTTTGGAGTAAAACATTTACTTTTGTTATTGTTTTTTTTTTTTTCGGGTAATTTTGTGTAGAAAAGTTCCCAGAAGCAATTAGTGAACCACGTGTTCCCAAAACTCGCCGTCTACAATTCAGTGGACCCTTCACTGGCACCTTCTCTTCTCATGGTATGAATCTACTTCTCGTTATTATTTCTCCTCTGAAATGTTGTTTCTGCAATAATTTGGAATCTTCTCTGCAGTTGGCACTTGGTTTTGTTTTTACGCCTTTGCATATAAGATGACTCCATAAACGATTCTATAACTCCTGATGCATGTTAATGATACCAGAGCCCGTTTGGCTGTACTAATTCATTCACATATATATATATAAATATTTTTTGTACTATATGTTTGTGGACTTCGATAGCTGCAATGTCAATTTGTGGTGGTATTATTATTTTTCCATTTAGTATCGTTGTGATCCTGGTTTTCATCATCCCTTTGCCGCTTATTATTCTAATGTGATAGGTGCAGTTGCTTATAAGAAAAGGTGGATGAGATGAACTCATCATCATATCTGTACTGGTTTCACTCTTCACACCTAACATTCAATTGATTCCTCTTAGTGGATTCTCAAGGCTATTGTTACCCTTTATAGATCATTTGAACTACTAGGCCAGTTCCGTTATTTTTGTTCATTTGATATGGGTTATAGTGGTGGCATGGTCTTGTGGCCTTAGGTACGCATCAAATGGTTTACTTCTCAGAGTGTGAAGCTTCTTAATTTTGAAATGTTATATCTAGTAGAAGTATGAGACAATCACTATATATATATATTTTCCTAGTTGGTACTCACACACCCCACCCTCCAAGGAACTGTTTGCACCTAGAAGGAATCGATCCTGAGATCTAATGCTTCACGAGGCACCAAGGCCCAAATCTTTTCCAACTAGGCCAACCCCTTGGGGTTTATATAAACATATTTTGATAGGTAAGATTTGATTATATATAGAATTCTTTTGCTAGGCTGTATTCTTATAATTCTACGTGAGATTCATTGATTAGCTTGAGTGATCATGTAGCAATGAGATGCTTGAATTTGAAATCTTAATCATTCAAGAGCAATATGGAGAAGGAAAAAAAATACTGGAATAAAGGGAAAAATACAAATATAGATAAACTAAATATAGTAAGCACAAGATTTTGTATCGCATATTTTGTTGAATAATTTTTTATTTTTTTAAAAATTTAATCACAGCCAACTTTTAGTTTATCTGCTTGTGATTACAATAACCCTAAGCCTCTCCCTACAGTTTTGGTGGTTCTTTTAACTCGCCAAACCAGATTTTGTTTCTTTCTAGAATTTCTAACAACCTATTTTTCTAAAATTCGAACAACTTAGCATTGTCAGATCCAAGCCTATTCGAAGCCACTCCTTTTTGCAGTGTCCACAAACTTCCTTATGTAATAGATTATAATCCTACAAATTTTTTATAATATTATTTCACCATAAACAAGTAGAAGACTCTTATTTTATTTTATTTTTTATTTGTTTTTATGTTTTTGTTTTCCAACATATCTTTCATTGGTGATTGAAACAATGCGGCCTAAAAGATTTCTGTAAAATAGTAAAATGGACGACTTTTGCTGTGACGCCCCACTTTGCGTAGGGGGGGAAAAGTTGCTGGTACGTATAAGGGGAAGCCTTTTAGCTGTGTAGACACGTTTTAAAACTGAGTGCCTAGAGGGTGCACAAAGCAGACAATATTTGCCTCTTTAAAGATGGTATCGCAGTCAATTCCCCGCCGGAATGACTTATAAAAAAAAAAAAAAAAATTCCCCGCCAGAATATGGAGGAGTGTGTACAAACCCATGAGGGCCAGGCCAACGAGGACGTTGGGTCCTAAGAGGAGGTGATTGTGACGTCCCACAACATCTAGGGGGTGAATGTGTTGAAACTATAAGGGGGATGCTTTACACGTATAAAAATCGTGAGCTCCAGGAGGTTGCAAAGTGAGCAATTTTGCACAGTGCGAGGTGGGACTTGACAGATGGTATCATAGCCAATTCCTAGCCGGAATATGGGGGAGTGTGGACAAGGCTATGACAGTCAGGCTAGGGAGGATGCTGGGTCCCACGGGGGGTGATTGTGATGTCCCACATCTCCCAAGGGAGAAGTTGCTGGCACTTATGGGGGAATGCCTCCTACTTATGTAGACACATCAAAAAACAATGAACGCCAAGAGAGTGCAAATTGGCAATATACGCACAATTTGAGGCGGATCTTGACATTTGGTTTGTCTAGGTGGGTTCAAAAGACATGTTGGTCAAGCAACATTTTCTAGATCTGGTGAGAGAAAGAAGGGGGATGAGAGGAGGGGGGGGGGGGGGGGGTGTTGGGAATGGTTGTAGGAGGACTAGACTTGAGAAAACTTATGATGGTGCACCGATAGATTGATGGTTTAAAAAGCTGGGTCAGAGGTAATTATTGTAGAAGATTGTGAGAGAAAGGGAATGGATGTTATAGTTGAAAAGATTTTGAAGGTGACAAGCTGCTGGAATATTTTTATGCCTTAGGGTGCTAGATGTCGGAGAAAGGCTTATAATGCTGGGAATGTGGTTAGCATAGAGTGAGGCTTTTGGAATAAGAGAAGGGTTATGGAAAGGCTGAATTTAGTCATCCCCTTTATGATTGGGTTGCATGAAACATCTCTTAAAGATCTTAAAATTGATTAATTTTTTTTTTTTTTAAACTTGTCTCTCTCGTGAAATGGAAAGAGTGCACATATATATATATGTATATCCCATATTTTGGTCGCTAAAACGTATCTGAACTTAAATCCACACACAAAGGGGCAACAACACAACTAAGCCGGCAAGTACTGACACAAGAAAACCCATGAGCCATTATTACAGCCCAGGCCCATAATATCTTGTATTCCCAATATAATTTGACTCCATAACGCATGAAAATTATCTATTTGTAAGCTAGCCTAAAATATCTATAAATGGAGAATCTACTCAAACTAAGACTAAATTAGACAGGTTCCCATGTGGGCTTGATTGAAATTTCCCCTGGTTTCCTTTTCCATGTTTACATGCTTGGCATCACACTGCTTCTATTCTGGCTTTTGTCACTATTATTGGAGTGCTCCATAATTCCATGTGAAAGTGAAACTACCAGGGAAAGAACTTCTTGCAAAAGCGAGTGAAATAGAATATAGGCAAAATTTACTTCATAGTTAATATCAAAGCTGTTTTGAGATAACTTCAAAAAAAAAAAAAAAGCCGTTTGAGATGATGCCTTGGCTTCAAAATTTAATTAATTTATTTTTCTTAAGAGAAAAGATGTGTTCTTTCAATTTGGAGTCTATGGTGGTTTTGGTAAATTTAGTAAAGTTCTCTAAAATTCTAAAAGTGATAATTACAACCTTTGGAGTCTCTAGTAGTTTTAATCTATTCAGCTCATCAGTACTGTATGTTGACAGAAGTTATACTGTTTATTCTTTTGATACAAAGTTTTTAATGATCTTTTACTTTTATATTTGTTTATACGTGTTGATGTATTTAGATATGATATTGGATTACATAATGCAGTAGAAAGAATAAACATCATATTTTACTATATTAATCTGTAATTTGAAGCGACATTAGTTGATGTTCCTTTTTCCATTGTGCAGCTTGGTCAGCAATGTGAGGATAGGACTGTTTTGCGATATGTCTATTATTACTTGGCTAGAATTTTATCAGATACTGGTTCTCAAGGTTTAACTCCTGGTGGTGGGATCCCTACACCAAACTGGGATGCTTTAGCTGACATTGATGCTGTTGGAGGGGTGACTCGAGCTGATGTCGTACCTCGGATAGTAGATCGGCTCAGTTCAGAGGCCTCAAATATTGATGTTGAATGTAAAATGATCTTTTAGTTTCATTTTTTATGCAAATCTTATTAGTAGTTATTTTGGAATTCAACCAAGCTCAACTCAATATAGCCTTGTCCCACTGATTTGCCGCGTTGCCTACATGAATCCTGCTTCTCTTTTCTACTGTTTAGGGTTATAATTCAGTTAAATTTCATGGTGCCACATTTTTTCTTATTATCTCAACTCATGGTAATTTTGGCCTTTGCTTTCCTCATACATCACCCTCAGCGTGAACCTGTTATTTTTCCTTATCTGTATGGTATGCTTACTAATGGCTATTTTTTTTTTTATAATTATTATTTTTTATTTATAGTTTTAGTTTTCTTTTAATTTATCTTCAATCTTCAATATCTCTCATCTGATTCAAACTAGCGGTGTTATGTGTATCCTCCCCTGTTCTGGTTATGGAATGGATGAAATAAATCAGAAAATGGATTTTTGTTCAAGAATGAAATCTTATTGGAACTGTCCATATCCGGTTCATCCTTCAAAACCCTTTTCTTTTAATATCTTCAATCTTCAATTGGCAACTTCCACTTTCTCACAAATTCATTCATTTATATCTTTGTCCTTTCTTGTCTTCTCACACAACCCTCTCAACATCCGGATTTGTTTAGGTTCTAAAAGCTTGAACTGCCAAGATTGAGAATGCCAGTTTGAATTTAGGAGTAGTCAAAGTTGTCATTTTTGTGTTAATTTGTGTCAAAGGTTAGTTCTGTATCCAACTGATCCCTCCTATCACCATGCATTGACTGGACTAATATTTGGTGACCTTGTAGCTCATTTTATGAACAATTTAGTTAACCGGGCAATATTTTGGCATTAGTATGCTCTTTAGAAAATATGTCATGACATTGGATTGGATCTATAAACTGTGAAATTTAATCAATTTGATATGATTCGTATGATTATTGGTGCTCTGTAAACCCCCTTCTTTGTTGAAGATGCAAAAGGAGAACTTAAAAGGGTGTGTTCCTAATAAGTCAAAGAAATATATTTATGAAAATGTACAAGCACAAAACCCATAATTGTAGAAAATACAGATTATCTGTGCACAACCTTCATAAATGAGAAGGAAAAAACTTCAACCGCAGAGGAATAACATTTCTAATATATTTTTACTTAAAGAGGTCCTTACTCCAAGGAAGAAATCTGACTCATCATTGACAGAATGAAATATTCAAGGAAACTGAGCCCTTTAATTAATCTCTCTCATTATATGCCATTGAATTTATCTACCTCATTCTTATCATTATCCCAACGTTTTGTGTGTGCGCGCGAGTTGGAGTTGTTCTTTTACTAATCCCCTTCTTTTTCTCCTTTTGAAGTTCATGCACGGAGACTGCAAGCATTGAAAGCTCTTACATACTCTCCCTCAAGCAACTCTGAAATCTTGTCCAAATTGTATGAAATTGTGTTTGGCATTCTTGAAAAGGTTTGTCTAGCTCCAATTTGATGTCTTTTAAGCACAACTTCTTTGCATCTTCCATAACTATGACAATGAAAGCATCATAACGGCTTGATAGCCACTTCTGAGAGTTGATAGGGCATTTGGATCAAATCAAGTTTTAGTGATGGTCAAGATTGTTTTTGTTCGTTTTTGGTTTAAAGAGAACAATGGATGGGCAGTACCTCATAGTGACTTTTATGGGAACCTTGAAGTAATCATTAATTAGGAGATAATTGGGGGAGCTGTTTCTGGGAAGGGTGGCCAGAATGGATACCTGATGTCATATCTATTGTTCGACCTATATAAATAATAGGCTGTCTGAAGACTCTAAACCAAAAACAAAGCTGTGGGCCCACAACAGTTAAGAATCCTTTTTGATCCGAGGAAATAGTGTCTGGTAGTTTATGATTGATAGGCTATTTTGATTTGAATTTTATTTGTTGAGATTAGTTATTAATAATTTTTACATTTAATGTGATACGGTACCATATGAGAACTTACACCAATGCAGCAGTGAACAAGTTTGGTTCATCCCCTCCTCCCAAAAAAAGGAAAGAATTTAGGCTTCTTTTTTTATTATTTAATTAATTTTGAGATTAGTTTGCTTTAAGGGCTAGGATTTTGAAGTCTATAGAAGGGCTTTTAATGATTCATTTTGAAGTTGGTGAATGTTGAATTGAGAATTTCAGCCCTCTTGCATTTTGGGAGATTGTGATCAATTTTTTTCGTTCTCCTTCTTTTCTCTTTTACCTATGCTGCTTCTCTATTTTTGTTTTTCTAGTCTAAAATTTCTTAACTTACCATCTTCATACTTCAATCCAAACGTTAAACAATAAAAAAAGCCCTTAATAGCCCTGTTCTCTCCCAAAAATCCTTTTCCCCGTTTCCTAGCTATTCTCAATATGTTGTTATTTAAATAAGGGCTAATTCCATAAAACCCCTACTATCAAATTTTGATCATAAACCCCCAACCTGTTTCAGAAAACTCCCGATACTTTAAAAAGTGATCACATTGCCCCAATATTCGTATCTGACCCGTTAACCGGACTGTGAAATGTCGAATTTGACCTTGCTATTTAATATTGAATTAAAAAATATAATTATTATTTTTGAAGTTACAAAAATACGCCCGTGTCTTCTTCCTCCTCTCTCTAAAACTTTTACCCCCTCTCTCTCTAAACCAAAACCACAACCACTCTCTTTAGTTCTTCATCTTTGCTGTGATATACATACATATACATATACATACATATTCATATACATACATATATACATACATATACACATATACATACATATACATATATATACATATACATATATATACACATATATATACATATACATATATATATATATGTTGCAATTATACAGAGTAATTTGAGTAATGATAATTTGGTGTAATTGCAATATATATACACGCACACACACGGAGTAATATGATGGGTTAATTTGAGTAATTTGGTATAATTGCAATGCATCTATATATATATATATATATATATATATTCCATATCTGCAAATCAACCCATATTTATATATGGTGGTTTGTTTTTGGTAAAGGTTTAATTTTGGTTTGTGAATCACATAAATTTTCTTGTGATTGTTGGAAGGTTGTGAACAAAATCGATGGCAGTCCACAGGCGCTGATGATGGGAGTGAGAATTAGCTCGCCGTGGTAAGTCGTCGTGAAGAGCAGCGACCGACCTTGGGTCGCGATTTGGAGAAGGTTGGGTCGCTGACCCAACAGTTTTAGAGAGGGACGGTGACCACCATGGTGGTTTCCAGGTTGCGCTCTGGTGACCTTCACGATCGCTGCCGGTGACCTGTGGGTTGATTGAAAGTAGTGGGTTGCTGCTATTCACGGTGACCAAAACTTTGCACCAGACCAACCAGAGATGTTTGGATGGTGGTTGGTGGTGGTTGTTTTGGTTTAGAGATGAAAGGGAGAGGGAGAGGAGGAGGAGGAGATGGGTGTATTTTTGTAACTTCAAAAATAATAATTATATTTTTTAATTTAATATTAAATAGTAAGGTCAAATTCAACATTTCACAGCCCAGTTAACGGGTCGGACACGGGTATTGGGGCAATGTGATCACTTTTTAAAGTGTCGGCGGTTTTCTAAAACAGGTTGGGGGTTTACGATCAAACTTTGAAAGTAGTGGGGGTTTTATGGAATTAGCCCTTTAAATAATTTTTTATTGAAGTGTTGCACTTTTGTAATGTCCTGCATCAACATGTCTTCTATATTTTTGTGTGATTATTGCGTTTGAAGACTTTGGATCAAATTAGTTGAAAAATTCTATGAAACGACAATCACTCTGGCTTAACCTTTTTATGTGGAAAAACACCAGCAAATAAGCTTTAGAAGATTGATTTATGGCAAGATTTTTGATATGCAAGAACAGAAAGCCTCTCCCAGGAGTAAACCCTAGAATCTTATAACTGTAATTGTGCATCAATAGAGCTGGCTTTTTTGCTTGATAAAAGAGAATTGACGATGAAACTAATGCCCGTATTTTGTTTTTCAGGTTGGTGATGCTCCTCAGAAACGTAAGAAAGGCATATTGGGTGCCAAAGGTGGTGATAAGGAGGTAATCTTATCATCTTACAAGTGTGAACCATTGGTTGTCTATACTAATTATCTTTATTACCAAACATTTCTGTATGATATTTAGATTGTTAGGGCCAGCCATGTCACCCAACTTTGTGACATGCTGTTATTCTTTTCTTTCATCATTCTTCTCTTATATTTTTTTGTCCAAAATGCTCTGCTTGATTTTCCGTTCTTCAGTTTTTCCCATATTTTCTTTTTTGAAATTTATAGAGAAATTTTCTTTTTACTATTAGCTAATCTATGTGAATCAATTATTTCATCATAACTACAGTTTAAGGATCCTCTAATTATATGTTGCTATTACGGTTTAAATTCTCCTGTCCATTTGGACATTCATGAAAATTATCTTCCAGGATCACTGCCTTCCGGGATGACACAAATACAAAATTTTCTGATATTTTTGACCTGCACAAAAATGTGTCTTTGTCACATTTGAGTCACTCATATAAGATGGTCTCAGAAATTGGAAGAGGCCTCTTTGTCAGTGGTTCTTAAAGATACTGTGATTTATGAACTGCCCGGCTTATGAGAAAATGGATTTCACTCCCACATGTTTTGTCCCTCTAGGTTTCTCTATTTATCAATGTCGCTAGAGGTATTATATTGGTTGTGAAACTAGCTTGCAGAAACCTACTGGTAGCAGCTGTAGAAAACACTGTTGTCTACTCCTTTATCTTACAAGTCTATATATGGTTTTGAATTTTTATGGAAAAATAGTATGTGTTTTTTTGTCACGTATTGTTTCTACTTCTTTCCTGTGTTACCCGAAACTGAAGAAAAAAGTTGTGAAACTTAAGGGTGTGTTTAGTAACGTTTTCGTTTTCTGTTTTTGCTGTCTCAAGAAAGCAAACGTGACTTTGTTTTTCTGAGTGAAAGTAGAAAGCGTAAATGCATTTATCAACACTTCGTTGTTGCCACAATTTTGAATGCAGAAAACAATAACAGTGTTTATTGGTACATATTTGTTACGAGATGTACACAATATTGGCCCTGTTTGGCAACCGCTTCTGTTTCGTGTTTTTTTTGCTTCGGAGAGTGTACGGTAGTGAAGCAAAACACGGAAGCGTGTTTGGTAATGTTTGCTGCGATTTGAATAGTACTGAAACGTTTTCGAAAAAGAGGCCAAAACCGGAAGCACCAAATTGGTGTTTCCGGTTGCTTCCACACTGTATCAAAAGCACTGTAGCGATGAACAATAACCAAAAAAAAGACAAAAACTCTCAAAGGTTGAAATGAATACAAGACATCTCTATTAAATGGTCCAAGACTCCCCATCTCAAAAGATGCTTTGGGTTTATTGTTTTGTGACTTTTGTATCACATTAATACACATTTTTAATATATTTCTCTCAACTTTAGCAAGCTAAATTAGTGCGTACATGTTTTTCTGGATGAGAAACTCTGTTGTTGGAGGGTTTTTTTATGTGTCTCCCCCTTTACTATATCATTATGCTCTGATCTCATATCTTAATGTATCGTTAACTTTATCTTGTCTAACTTATTTTTCATTGTTTTTTTGCTTAAATTATGTTATTAGTCCATCATCCGGAGTAATTTGCAATATGCTGCTCTAAGTGCTCTGAGAAGACTTCCTCTGGATCCAGGAAATCCAGCATTTCTCCATCGTGCTGTACAGGGGTTAGTATTTATTCCTTTTGATTTTTAGAGCTTCAGTTTAGTGATCTAAAACATAGTATAGACTAATAAAGTTTTAATGAATATCTTAATGTTATGAATCTAGGTTATCAATGTTGTTGTTGGCGTAATTATTATTCTATGTGCTATTCAATATCCTACAATGTTCTCATAGGAGCTTTGTCCAATGTTATAGTTTATGGATAAGTCTCCCCCCCCTGTTTTTCCCCCTACCCCAGTTTTGGCATCTAGATTGGGGTGGAGGTAAAATACTCTTAAGTACACTAACTAGATAATTAAAACATATCACTTTATTTTATTTAGGTTTGAAAAGAGCAAAATTTTGTCAAAGAGAAGAAATAGATGATCTAAGAGGGTGTCTCTCCTTTATATTAGCTAAGGGGCAAAAAGAGGCACCTATTTCCATTATGGTTTCCTTTGCAGAATCTTCTCCTTTATTTGCTTGAAAACTGACATTACATAGCTAAGGGGCCAATAGAGGCATCTATTTCCAGTATGGTTTCCTTTGCAGAATCTTCTCCTTTATTTGCTTGAAAACTCAAATTATAACCCTAAGTCCGTTTCTTTATCAATTTGGGCACAAATCCATCCAAGACTTCCCAATTTCCTTGTCCTATATGAAAACTATCTTGGAACCTGCCAACACAAAACTTAAACCCAGCTCCCTTTACCGCTTACCCTCACTACTGTTCTCTAATCCAGATTCTTGCTCATGGTCACTTAGTTAACAAATCACCTTCAACCAACATGCTATGCTACTCACCTTTTGAAATTTTAGCGATCGTCACCTAGTGTTGCCTTTGACCTAGCTGCTCATGTCTTAAACCAGAAAAGTTGTCAAAGGACATAATCATCTGAGAACAACTTCAGTTTCTTATTGATATGGAAGCGATATGATAGGAACACAGTTAGAAGTAGACAAAATGCATCACTGGTAATAGTGAAAAGGAATGAAGGTTAAAGAAATTAAAAAAAGGAAATTAGTTTTTAAATGCTTTAAAAGGAAGTGAGATGAAAATAGGGCAGGCCTTGGCTCAATGGTAAGGTTGCTCCATTGTGACTCAGACAAGTTTGAAACGGATACAACCTCTTTGCATGCATAGGTAAGGCTGCATGCATTTGATCCTCCACAAACCCTGCAGTGGTGGAAGTCTTGTGCACTGGGCTTGCAGAAGAGAAAAGAAGTACATGTTAAATGTGTTTTTTTTTTTTTTTTTTGGTTAGTTTTAAATTCTGTAAAAGGAAGAGTGTGTGTTTGGGTTTCTCACACCTCTCACCTTTTTATATATTAAGAAGTTGAAGCCCTCCCTAACACCAATTGGTTTTAGGAGAAATGGTGGAAGCTTTTTTTTTTTTTGGGGAAGGGGGGTGGGGGGAATTGTTGGCTGGTGTAGCCAAGGAATCCACCCTAGTAAGCTTTGCGAAATAGTTCTGTTCAAGTTGTGGCTCTGATACAAAGTTAAGGGTTAAGGTGTGCTTGTAGAAACAGAGAGGAAGAGAAGAAGAGGGAGAAGAGAGGAGGTCCAGAAGGAAGAGAAATTCTGTAAAAGGAAGAGAGTATGTTAGGGTTTCCCACACCTCTCACCTATTTATATATTAAGAAGATAAAATTACAATAGTGTCCATAATGCATAAAAGAAATAAAAATAAACTCTCTAACAACCATTTTTATCATTAGCATTGACCATTTTGTTACAGAGCTGCTTGCATTGCTTTAATTTTTGTAACTTATTGCACTGTTGTGGTATCTCTAGATGTTTTTATTCCTTATTCGGTCTCTCTCTCTCTCTTTCTTAAGCGATCTACAGTTTGTCGCTTTTAAGCTCATTTACATATGGTCAGGGTTTCATTTGCTGATCCAGTTGCAGTGAGGCATGCCTTGGAGATTATATCGGAGTTAGCAACCAAAGACCCTTATGCAGTTGCAATGGCATTAGGTAATTTTGATTAATTTATTATATTGAACTCTTGGTTTGCATCATTGTTAGCTGTGACAAAACTTAACTTGATTAATGTAATGTTTTGAACTCTTTCACATTCGCTCTTATTTGTTTGGCACAATTGATACACGGACAAACATCTGATCTGCCTGTTTTTGTTAAATATTCACACATGCTTAGAGTTTATATATATATATATATATATATGAAGCAAATACTTATCAATGCAGAACATGAATAAAAAGGCCTAAAAGATAGGATTCCTTGAAGAGTCAGAGGACACTCGAGAGAACAAGTCAACAAATTGAACATAATGCAACCTGGCGACCCTTGTAAAGTCAAGCCCAAATGCATAGGCACATGCTTACGGTTATACTGATATTCATATCTAATTTATGATTCTTACCCATAAACAAGAAGGTTGATTTCATTTTGTTGCCTAAGTTGTATTTTTGATCTGTGAAAAGAGGCTTTTAAAGAGAACTTTAAGATATTCCCAACTTTTTCTGTTTAAGGCTCAAGCCTGGGAAAAGGTCCCCAAATATCATAATAATCTGTGTCAGTGGTTGCAAGACAACATTATGTCAATTTATGCTTTTCAGGTTTAAGATTTTATGTTAAGATTCATTCCATACAAGTAAGTAGTTTAAGCGTAGCTGGGTAACAGCTTACAGATGAGAAAGTTATGATGGTGACTTTGATAAAAGAAGTACCTATGCATTGATTCTTGTATGCCTTCATTTTCAACTTTCCTGCCATGATACGTGGGTGGGACTATAGTTTGGCTTTTTCTAATACAACCTATTTTTCTGCTTTTTATGTTTCTTTGTGCAGGAAAGCATGTTCAACCTGGAGGTACTCTTGATATTTTTTGTTCCTATTAAAATTATCATTTTCAGATTTTGTCTTTTTGAAGTGTCACCTTGCATTTGGGGATTTGATTATCTGCATTTGCATATTATTATTTTTATTATTGAACATTTGCATTTGCATGCTGCAGCCATCATAATTGTTGCTAATTTTTGCTCTTATGCACTTTTTTTTACATGAGCAGATACACTGAATTAGCATATTGTATTGGTAAATTAATGCATCTCCAAGATAGTGGCTTTGATGGAATGACATTGATAACTGATTTCTAATTCCAAATAACCTGTCAACATCATACTTCCTGAAGCTAGTGCAGGAACAGAGACCTAAGCAGTAGCAATTTGGAACACTTCCTGCAGCTGTTATTATTATTATTATTTTTATCTAAAGAAAAATAATAGAAAAGGAAGCTCAAATAAGAACGATATGTTTCAACCGGTGCTTTGCATGTTTCATTTCAATAAGAGATAGCACATGCCTTAACTTATACTTTTATTCTCCTTTTCTTATTGAAACTTAATTTGTAAAAATTTATAGAAAAATTTCAACAGTAACAGACTACCATTTCCTCTCCTAACGGAGGAGTGGTTTTGGATGATGCGGCTTCTATTTTAAAGATTCCAAATTACCTTTTTTCCCCCCAAAAAATATAATTCTACAAATAATATATATGAAGTTATAAGAGTGAATAAGTTATGGGCATTTATGGAATCAAAACATGATAGTACCATTAGGGGTTCCCCTTATAATAGCATAGATATTTCGACAGATATTTGGACAAGTTGTGTACCATAGTAATCCTAAGTTTCATTATTCATCTATGGAATGAAACATTCATAACTTGAACTACCTCATAGCGTTTCAGTTATATATGATATGTATTTTAGGACGTTAGGATGGATTTGTACAAGTGACCAGGTAGAGTGAGGTGATGAGAACAGAGAAAATTAGTGGAAGATATGATCATTTGATAGCATATAGGGGCTAATAATATCGGAGAAGATATAATCATATAATAGCACGTGGAAAAGGCACATGACCACGTGAATTGAGATTTATTGATGTATATCCTTGAGAGGATGGGCTTTAGTGAGAGGTGGATGGGGTGGATCCGCTTTTGTATCTCCATGGTGAAATTCTAAGTGTTGGTTAATGGTGTTCTGTCCAACTTCTTTTGTATGAAGCTATAAATAATGTGAAAATAGTATAAGCTGCTAGATCTAAAATAAGTAGCATGGTGATTGGAAGTAATTGGGTGATGGCGGTGTACTTGGGTTGACTACTTTGTTTAAGTAGATTTCGAATAAGAAGATGCTTAATGAATGGAGAAACAGTATAAAATTTTATGAGTCATCCAAAAATGTTCTGGGGGATGGTGTTGAGCAAGATTTAGACATGAGATGATGTATTGGAGAATCTATTTTGTTTTATGCCATATAAATGACACTGAAGCTATGTATTATGTTGCCAACTGATGGAAAAACTTAAGAGGAAAAAACAGATACGTTTATTTTGTTTAGAAGGCATGTGTCTACGTAGGGATATAAAGGCGAGTTTTAGGAAAAGAATGTAATATTAATCAGGTAATGAGTGTGATTGACTCATATACCTTGGAGCAGCACTAGGATGACAAGAATGGGAGATGTGATTTCAAGGATCAAGATTAAGATTTTAATGTTTGCATTGGTTACGAATGAACTTAGTAGGCATGGCCAAGAACATGTCCTTTGCTCATATCTCCCCAATTGCTGTTTTGTTTCCTTACGTTTAGTAGGGGAGATTATCTATTTATTCATTTTGATAAGAATCCATTATAAACAAATACACCAAGGGTCGCAACCTGTGTATGCACAACATGTGCAGGATCAACAAACTAGGCTCGCTTCCTCTATACAGGACAAGTTCCATATAAAAATCTACGAAAAATATGAAACGGCATCGAACCTCCTAGACATCCAAAAGTGAGAAGCATTCAACGTGATTGTTTATATTTTTATGGTTTTCATGTTACCAAGTTACCTTGATTCCTTTTCAACTTTAAAAAGTTGCTTAAATCTTATATGTTCAGGAGCTTTGCAGGATGTTCTCCATTTGCATGATGTTCTTGCTAGAGTTGCACTGGCCCGTTTGTGCCATACAATATCAAGAGCTCGGGCACTTGATGGTAGGTATATCAGAATTCAAGTAATATGTATGTATTTGAATGTATGGAATAATAGTTAGTATAGTCTAATATGTTTGTTTTACAGAAAGGCCTGACATTAAGTCTCAGTTCAATTCTGTACTCTATCAACTCCTCCTGGATCCCAGTGAAAGAGTCTGTTTTGAGGCTATCCTTTGTGTGTTAGGAAAATTCGATAATGCTGAGAGGTATTTTTCGGAAATTTCTAACCTCTTTTCCTTCTATTTATTTCATTTTTCTTGTAATCTGTCTCAAAATTAAAATTGCATGCTATGCTGAAATTGTTATCCTTCTCTCCAAGCCTCCCTACCTCTTTTTCTTTTTTCAAAAAAAAAAAAAACTAATCAATGGTCATTATTTTCTTAATTCACTGTAGGACGGAGGAACGAGCTGCTGGGTGGTATCGTCTTACCAGAGAAATTCTTAAACTTCCAGAAGCACCATCTGTAACATCAATGGAACCTAATGCTGATCCTAAAAATCCCGTTCCGCCAAAGGCCAAAGATAAATCTCAAAAGACAAGGCGTCCACAACCCCTTATAAAACTTGTAATGAGAAGGTTCATGCTGTTTTTATTTAGTTGTTCTTTCTTCCATTAGAAAATTTGCTGCTTTATTTATTTTTATTTTGGTGGTGAGGTTCTTGAATATGAATATGATCTTCAAAGTTGGAGATGTGGTTGAACTGCACTTAGTTATGAATTAACAATAATATTTTTGAATTATTTTCATGCGGGACTTCTTTTCCCCATTGATTTCACTTCAGGTTGGAAAGTTCTTTCCGTAGTTTCTCTAGGCCTGTACTTCATGCAGCAGCAAGAGTTGTGCAGGAGATGGGAAAAAGTCGGGCTGCTGCTTTTTCCTTAGGTTTACAGGATATTGATGAAGGAGCTCATGTTAACACATATTCTGAAAATAATGATTCAGTTGATGCAGATTTTGAGAACCCACTTGCCGAAGGTAGGCTTCTCTATTTTTCTATTTACCAGTAGCATGGCATTTCTTTGCTTGAGCTTAACCTTCCTTGAAGAATCATTGATCATCAAAATCTGATGTTTTCAGTTAACATGGTGCTAGATTATGATTATCAAAGAGTTTTATTAGTGTACCATACTTTAAAACGGTGTTATAACTATTTTACCAGTGAACACTGGCAACTTTCTTAAGATGATGTTTTCTTTGGTAATTTTATTTATTGTTATTTTGGTGCAAAATGTTAAGTCTGACAAGCATGAAGATGCATATTGATGTGCAAGAATAATACCAAGATATAGGTTTGTCTCTAGTCTTCCCCACCTAGCACTTTGTAGGTGGAGTTGGGACCAGCACTGTGTTATGGCCTTTTTTATAGATATTTTGGTGTCTAACTCGATCAATTGCGGTTCCATTTCTATCTGATTTAAGAATATGTGGCTGGAGCACCTCTTCTCGTCAAACTTTTGAATAGTGGGTGCAAACTGTGGTTGTAGTTTGCCGAACTTGGATTGATTATTCATAGGAATGGAGAGGCTGAAGAAAATATTGCCCATAGAATTAAAATAAAATTGTTTAGTTGGTTGGGTGCTTTTGGAGTTTTTGCAATTGATGTATATCTTTGAAGTTAAAATGGAAAATTCTTTAAAACAACTGTTTGACATACAATGCTGAGTACTTAAAAAACAATATGTTCATAAATTTAGTGTATGATAATTTTTGAACATGTCGTATGCATAAATCCATATTGTTCTGGTGATGAGTCCATGAAACTTCGAGTTGTCATAGTCAATAGGTACTTGTGTAGAAGATTCTTTGTAGATATTTTGAGACTAGTACTTTTGTTTGTGTTCGTGAATCGACACTATTATACATGAATATTTATATCCAATCGATTTAAGAGATAAATGTTTTCTTGGATGAGTCACTTGTATCTGATTGATGTGATATTTCGCATGCATAATGAACACAATAAGGAATATAATCCTACCGTCAGGCTGGTAAAAGATGTATTCTACATAAAGTTATTGAGGGTACAAGTCTTGTTATATTTATGTTTGTTCATGTTAAGGAACCATGGATAATTTGTTAATGTAAAAAATAATTATAAGCACAAAATGGTATAATACCCTTATACTTTTGCACAAATTTTATATAAATTAACACGGAAATATTTCTAGATTGTAATAATTGTCCACTGTAGCGTGACAGAGATATTCGGCCAATTAGTATCTGATATAAAGTAGTCAATAGAGAAAAATATCTGAAATAGCACAAATTAATTTTGTACTTCCAAGATCAGGAAAAGGGATTAAAAAGATAAGACAAGAAATGCAATTGTTATTTCATGATATATTTTGATGAGGGTCTTCTTTTAAGTGGTTTCTTTTAAGTTTGATGTCCATTGCTTCCCTGGGGTGGGGAGGCTGAGGTGTGAATTTAAAGAAAATTTAAATGTTCAAGCTGAAAGGGTCAAATTTGGGATGGAAAACCAAACGAAAGGTGGGTTGAGGCTCTGAAAAAGATGTGATTCCTTGACTTTAACCAAGGATATGGTTTAATGAAGAGTTGATTGGAGAAGATGGTTCTATATAACAACCCCAATTAGTTGGGATAAAGGCTTATTGAGTTAAGATGTTAATTGTTCACTTTTTTTTTTTTTTTTCCATGGTTCTTATCCTTAGATTGCTCAAGTATGTAATATTTGGAATTTTTGTTCCATGTATGAGAAGTAGGGTTTTGTTTCGTCGTGATTTGATTCTGTTCTCTTCTTGGTAATCTCTTCTTTTGAGTTTTTCTGAGCCCTTTAATTTCAATTTGTAGAGTCAAAATATTACTTAGTGAGATAAAAACTTCTCATAGTTTTATTTTATTTGGGATATATGTTAGTCATTTAGAAGGGGACATTATTGGGTCAAATTCTCCAAAATAGGTATTGGATCAGAGTACTTGGAATGAGATAACAACATCTCATAGTTCTTTGATTTTATTCGGGATATATATTAGTCATTTAGAATGTGACATTGTTAGATCGAATTCTCCAAAATCGGTGTGTTGGATTGAAGCAGTTTTGATAGCTTATTTGGGGGTTAATTTGGTACTTAATAAGAAGGAATCAGATGCATTTTTAGGAAAAGGTTTTCCTTATTTCTACTATTGATATTGCTTCTGTGCCACTAGATCAGAAGGAACTATATTTCTTTTTTTCATGCATTTGAGCATTGTTTTAAAAACACATAATTTACAGTACAATATATTCAATTTGGCAGTGTGTTAAATTCAAGCTACTTGGGATCAGTCAGCTATAGTCTATATGTGTCCTTTCATGTTTCAGTGTTGATTTGTTTTGGATTAACTGACGGGGGCTTTTTTTGCATGATATCCGTTATATAGCAACCTAATTTTGAATATATCTTGGGAGTTGTGAATTTATCCATATGGTGGATATCAGCTGAATGCATTATTCGTTTTGGCCTCCCCTCCTCCTCCTCCTATAGGTCCCCGCAAGGTTTCTTCTGTATCTAATGGAGTTGGCGGCAAGGACACAATTTTGGGTTTATTGGCTTCGTTAATGGAAGTAGTGCGAACAACTGTAGCATGTGAATGTGTTTATGTTCGGGCAATGGTAATCAAAGCATTGATCTGGATGCAAAGTCCACATGAAACATTTGATGAACTAGAATCCATTATTGCTTCAGAACTCTCTGATCCAGCTTGGCCAGCAACGCTATTGAATGATATACTACTCACTTTGCATGCTCGTTTTAAGGTACTTGGCAGGCATCAAAGAATTTTTTTGTTTATATTGAGGCATGAATAGTGTTTGTTTGACAGTTCATTTGCATTTTCTTTTATGATGACATAAGTTTCAATGTGATTAGGTAAGCGGTGTTCTCTAATCAGGTTTGCTTGCTAATTATTACAATAATTGTTCTTCATATCTGTAACATCATGCATACTTGAGCATGCTTAATGAACACCAATTACCTGAATGAATTGTAATTGTTGAAGCTGGTATTGCTCAAGTGGCATAGACAGATTGACAAGAACATTTTTTGTGCCTTACTAATATATATATATATTTTAAATATTATTATTATTATTCTTTTCTATGTTTTGAAAGAATCAGTTGATCACACATTCATCTATGTTGTGTGTCAAATTGATCTTTTATGGTCATATTTTATTAGGGTCTTTCTATTTGCAATTATGTGGAGTACATGGAAGATTTGGGAGGAAAAGTTATATGTTCTTAATAGGGTCAGTTTTGGATATTGAAAAGTTAAGGAGATAATCAAATATCAGTTCTTTTTATGTGGTTTTACTTCAATATTTAGAGAGGTTTGTCTGAGAGTGGACTAAACAACTAGGAAAGCATTATAGTATTTGAAGTTCTGTCCTTCCATCTGATCTTATCTGTGCTTTTTTTGGAGTTTTGGTTGCTCCCTGTCTCAGCCCTGTTCTTCTCCCCCTCACTTTTCAATTCTATTAAAATAAAAAATATTAATAAGATATTGTTATCACATGATCATTATGTTTTAATGGTACTCCATTCATGTGGAATATAACAGAGCATTTAGTCCTCATAGAGACGTTCCATTGACTGAAAGTAATTTAGTAGTGTCAGATATACTGGGATAAAATACCTTGTCTTATTAACATCTTATTCAGCGTTATTTAAACTTTATCTCAGCTTGTAAGAAAATATCTTTCGTTGCATAATCAATGGCTTTATATGTCTTCAGCTTACTTTGTCACTGAAAATTGTAGTTTTTATACCTCACATTAATTTCTGTGTTCCTTTATATTACACATGCTGATGGTGTAATGTACTTGTCTCCTTTTCTGTTTCGTTGTTGACTTATTAGGCTACTCCAGATATGGCTGTCACTTTGCTTGAAATTGCGAGAGTATTCGCCACTAAAGTGCCTGGGAAGATTGATGCTGATGTGCTTCAACTACTGTGGAAAGTAGGTTCACACTCAATTCCCATGTCTGCTAAACTTTTTCTCACCAATTTAATATTTCAAATTTTTTTTTTTTCAATTTATTATTATTTTTCTACTATATAACTTCCACTTCTCATATACGGTTTGTTGGTAGCAACGTGGAACAATGTTAATGACTTATAATTCATTGTCTATATATATATTTTTGTTTTTGTTTCATTTTGTTATGTCATTCACATAACAAGGTGAAATAAGTCTGATGTACAAAAATTATGCAAGCTATAAGATTATGTGAAGGAGATAAGGAAGAATATAAGAAAGAAGATGAGCTATTCTTCAGAGGATAACAAACCAATCTTCATTGAGAGAGAAATGGCCCCTAATAGAATTTAAAGAACAAGCCCCTTCTTTAGCCAAAGAGTTTACTTTTTCTTTGTTGATGTAAGAATCCATCTGATTTCCACCTCCAATGAAGTAAACAAATCCAAAATCTCTCTCAGAATATGATTATAGTGCGAATGCCCAAAAGGTCCCAAATCCATCCTACCGCCAAGTCGAGATCCGCATCAATTAAACAATAATTCAAGTCAAGGCATACTCTGTTCTTAGATCTTCGAAAGGGTAGAGAACATGAAATGGTATTCCACTGCATCCCTAGGGATTACCAAGGTAGCTAGCAACAAGGTTATTGGGTATTGTAGCGCGGTGCATCTCATTGGTATTCATGTGATTATGAGCCATATACTGAACAAAATCATTGACTTTAGGAGTAACCGAGGTGTTACAGATAAGCTTTTCTGGAAAGGAGTGGTTTTCAGATTTTGAAAGGTGACAAAAGTGAGATTTAGAATTGACAGTCACTGGATTGTGATCTCGAGCAGACGATATACACACCGTCTTAGGAAGTTCAATTTTTGGAAAGAGTGGATGTCCCAAAAATGGACAGGATGACTATGAACCACAGAAAATAAGGGACCATTGATCCTTGAAGCCTAGATATTCTAAAAAGACAAGGGAAAGCCAATCTAGTTAAGGATCATTCACTGTTGCTACAACCTAAAGAACAATCTAACCATCTATTAATTCCACGCATGGAACCTTCTCCTTCTTTCCAGTAAGTGCATTAAATTTTCTTCTTAAAAGTAAGAAGGAGAAAGTTGATTCCCCATTTTCCATACTTTTTGTGTTCCCTGCTTATACATGTTAGTTGATTCCCCATTTTACATTTAGCTGAGATGCTGTCATGGATCGATTACTTTTATTGACCTTGTAAACAGCTTTTGTCACTTTAAAAGTTCTCTCAACCATCTCTCTCCCTCTCTGAGTAATCTTTGTTGTATGTCAATTGTCCATCTGGTATTTAGATAGGAAGTGGCCTATAGTAGAGTAACTTTGAAAATATATAGTAATGATGTTCACGCTTATGATTTGTTAATGATTTTTACCAACCACTTTTCTATTTAATGATTGTTCAAATTGCAGACGTGTCTTGTTGGAGCTGGTCCTGGTGGAAAACACACAGCTCTGGAAGCAGTCACAATAGTTCTTGATCTACCACCTCCACAGCCTGGGTCAATGTTGGGACTCACATCAATAGATAGGGTATCTGCCTCTGATCCGAAGTCGGCTCTGGCATTACAGAGATTAGTCCAGGCAGCTGTAAGCATTTTATACTATCAATAGGATCTTTGATGAGTATGCTTAGTTCTGATCACCCCAAGAAAGGGTGTGGACTACGTTCGTTCTTCTTTTGTTAGTCTATGAAATAATACATTGCAGGTTTGGTTTCTTGGAGAAAATGCGAATTATGCTGCTTCTGAATATGCTTGGGAATCTGCTACCCCTCCTGGAACTGCATTAATGATGCTAGACGCTGATAAAATGGTTGCTGCTGCCAGTTCTCGTAATCCTACTCTGGCCGGTGCATTGACTAGACTTCAAAGGTGTGCTTTCAGTGGTAGTTGGGAGGTATAAGTTTTTACCTTGGCATTCCCCAGAGATCTAGTCTCTCTTGCCTTTTATTATTTGACTTATGTCAAACCTATCAAAATTTTTATTAGTCAAGTAGTCAACTTGTCCTTTGCATACACCATACTTATGATGAATGATATTTAATCTTGGTTTTAAATTGTTCAACTTTTAAATTATGAGACTAAAGGTCATAATATATATTTTCTTTCGACAATATGTTTTGAGGATATTATACTTTCTGTTACAATGACTCTTCTAGAAAGTCAATCAGAATAAATGGAAGGAAGAATCGGAGGTATATTGCACCACTTACCTGACAGTTCCAAAATTCTTTGTTGAAGGAAGAACAAAGCACCCAAACATCTCTCTCTCCTTCTCCTCCACAAATTTGCAAAAGGGGGGTCTGGGTGGCTCTTACAATGGCATATCATCTCTTATATTGATATATTTTCTTCAACGTGCAAAATATTTGGAGGGTAAATTTCACTCACACCCCCTCAGGGACGTAGTGGAAGGGATTAAAGCGTTCACAAGGAACGGGCTTTATCTTGAATCCACAAGATAGGGTACCTTGAATCCACAAGGAAAAGAAAACTGCAAAGTTTATTTATAAAATTGATTGAATTTTGCTCTTGCATTACATGTATATTTATAATAAAGAAAAACCCTAATACTGTAAAAGAAACTAGTAGCAAAAAGAAACTAATTGCTTAAGTAAACTAAAAATATAAAGAGACTAATAGTAGAAGGAAATTAAAAACCTAAAATTGAACTCCCTAAAAATTATAAAAAAATAAAAATAAAAATAATATAAAACCTAATAAAACTGTCCTACATCAATCTCCTCTACTTAAAAAAAAAAAAAAAAAAAAAAAAAAACTCGTCCTCGAGTTTCACTGGCTCATCGTATATTAATATATTCAAGATTTTATATCATTTGCATACTTGACCTTATTGCTCCACAAACTTGCTTCCTTGAAATATAATTATCCTCGGTCCTTGAAATATAATTATGCTTTGAAGTCTTGACACCATCTGTTTCTTACATATATCAAACTTTTTTGGCTGCTTTCTGTTTCACATGAAGTTCATCGCTAATAAAATCGTCTTCCAAGCTAGGATTTCCTTTTCTCTTAGGAATAAAATTAAAAAAAAAATTGCTGTTTGATGATTGTGGCTGATTGGCGAATCTCTATTATCTACAATCATTGTTCCAACTACTGATTTCTTGGCAAGTGTATCAACCACACCCTCAGTATTCTTCTTTACCCTTCTTCACTACTTTATTATCTTTAATTACAGAAGCTATAGTTGTAACATCACAAGAAGTAGTCAATCCCATGACAATTCCCCTTTTAAGCCACTGTTCGCCCTTGACATAAGGTTCCCCATCAAGTGCTCGTACTTCAATTAAATCTCTAAGTTCAGTCAAACAGCCACTGCCACCTAGTTTGTTCTCATCCTCCAAGCATGTGTCCGTGCCATTATTTGTATTGCAATTGTCTCCAAACTCCACTCGGGACAACTGAATGCCTTCGTCATTCTCATTATATTCTTTGAAATCTGCCTCACCCAGTTCAGCAGTTATATCTTCAAAGTGAGCCTCTGGAGTTGTATTAGTGGAAGTCTCTCCAAACGCACATGCGATGGCTAAAGTTTGGACATCATCATCTTCAACCATAATAGTTGAAGCAATAGAATTTGGCTCGAAATTAATTTCTTGAAAATTATTATTTGCTTAAAAAAAATCATCACTATTCTCCTCCTTGTTGACAAACGGAGTCTCTTTATTGCAATTCTGATATTGGTTGTACATCTGCTGGTAAAAAAAAAAAAAAAAAAAAAAGAAGTAGCAATCAACGACCTTTTCATCTTTGACCATGATTGTAGAGGTTGTTTTCCTTGCCTTCTAAGGCTATTCTTTACCTATTCCCACCAAGCTGCTGCTTTCTTAAGAATGATTGCAACAAGTGGAACTTGCTTGTATTCGGGTATGTCAAAATACTCGAGGAAGTACTTAACTTCATTAAGCCAAACCAAGACATCCTCAGCACAAAAAACTAGATGTAAAAGTAAGTAAATTGAGTTTTTTTTGAACTTACGATTGTTTGGATATCTATAGTTTCTGTCACGTCGATCCATTGCAACTTCTCTAATTCTGAACTCCTCATCATCAAAAGATCCGCATAGGCTAGAGGCCTACGTGGATATACAGGAACATAACCCATATCTGTTGGCTGCGATACACATCATCAGCATGAACTCGAACTGAACCACGAACCTGGTTGCCACCAATCCCAAAACTAGTTGTTACGAACCGTTCTTGAGTATGCATGACTGCCTTAGGATCCTGCGCTCCCCGATCAACGTCGCGAGAGCGGTTGCTGCCAAAACAATCAATCGTCATTAGCCCAGGAAATCAAGGCTCTGATACCAACTGACGTAGCGGAAGCGATCAAAGCATTCACAAGGAATGGGGGTTATCTTGAATCCACAAGGAAAAGAAGATTGCAAAGCGATCTTAAATATTATTGATAAAATTGATTGAATTTTGCTCTTGCATTGCATGTATATTTATAATAAAGAAACTAATTGCTTAAGTAAACTAAAAATATAAAGAAACTACTAGTAGAAGGAAATTTAAAACCTAATATTAAACCCCTTAAAAATTATAAAAAATAAAAATAAAAATAAAAATAATATAAAACCTAATAGAACTGTCCTACATTAGGTTAGGCCTAATTACACATGGTGATCGAAATAGGGTCTAATATCACCCTGTATCCCTTAGGTTAGGGGCGTGTGCTCTATGACGCCCTTCCATTAACCAGCTGTTAAAACCGTCAGAATATTTTGATGTTATGATGGATTTGCCCTTCTCCTTGAGAAAAGACTTTAGTAACCTTTTGGGATTTAAAATATTACAATGATACCCAAAAACACTTCACAGATTTGCCCTTACCTTCCCATGGCTATATGGCAGTAGCATACACCCGTTGACTTTTTTTTTTTTTTCTCTCCCCAAAAATTTACTCCAATTGTTAGATAGCCTGTCCTTGCATATACATTATATATATAATACATCAATATAGATATAGTCACACGCCATTTATACATATAGTTACTATCACAATAAATCCTTAATAGATATTTCCCAAAACAAAAGGAAATAATTTGACCTTTTTAATCTGTGTCTTGGAAGGATTGAAGCGAGATCCTTATATCTTGGCTTTGACTGCTAGTTCTCGACAGCAAATCGAGTGGTGGGAAACCCTAATCTAAATACGCTTTGAATCTAAAAGAGATTCGAGCCTCAGATCATGAAACCCCACCGGGCTTTGCTGTTGCCGGTGGGGGCGCATCATGTGAGGGTTAGGGTTCTGGTGAGAACTTAAGGGTGGGAATATTAGGTTTCTGGACCGAAATGATTGTGGGGAAGGTATTCCTGCGATTGAAGAATGGCGGTTGCCATTTCCTAAGGAGAGGAAATGAATTATTAGTAGAGAGAGAGTTAGGCTCGATGTTTGTTTAAGGAATGAAGCAACTATTTATGGAGAGATTGGAGAGTTTTGAAGTGAATTTGGAAGGATTGAATTGGATTTTGTGATTGGGGGTGGACGGTGATGATCAGCGAGTTTGGCCAGTGGAGATAACTATCAAAATTCACTAAACTGGAGATGAATTAGTTTGAGAGAGGTAGTGGGGGCGGTGACGTGTCAGGATGCCCTAATTTCAGAGAGAGAGGGAGATAGAGTGGAAATAGAAGGTTACTATAGTAATTTGTCTTGGAAGATTTTTTCTGTATTTTAATCTTGTAAAAATCAGGGGTACAATTGACATTTCATTCATATTTTTGACATCCGTAACCACTTAACGGCCATAATGGTGGTCAATGTAATAAAGGCATATTTTGAACACCGTGTGTGATTTGGTATAACCTCAGGGTGTGTGTGTAATTTACCCAATATTTGAACGCTTGATTTCACACCTATCTTTTTTTTTTTTTTTTTGGGTAAAATTTTAGTTATTTTAAAATATCGTGTTGATGTATTTGAACTTCATCTCATTTCTGATTTTTGTTGACTTTTTTGGTTTAAGTGGGTTGTTAATTCAAGAGGTAATTGGCTTGTTAATGTGCTGGATGTGCTCGTATGATGTTTTTCCTGTCAATGAACCTTTCAGTATAATTGGTGTTGCCATGTATTTTTGACTTTATGTTCGTGTCCTGGTTACATGGTTTTCCCAGGTTCGAATCATTGCAGCTCAAGCTCTTACAACAATGGCAATTCGATCTGGTGAGCCTTATAGGTTACAGATCTATGAATTTTTACATGCTTTGGCACAGGGTGGGGTACAGTCTCAATTTTCAGATATGCATATTAGTAATGGGGAAGATCAAGGGGCCAGTGGTACCGGGCTTGGCTCGTTAATTAGTCCAATGTTAGAAGTTCTGGATGAAATGTATTGTGCACAAGATGAACTGATCAAGTAAGAGTTCTGATTTTTGTTTTCTGTACTTCGTCTATTTTTTCTTTATGAACAAAGATATTATCGTGGAACAAAAAAAGGAGCATGAACTTTCACTTGGTCCCTGATAAAAGTACTTTTGTAAATTCAGGGATACGCGCAACCACGATAACACGAAAAAGGAATGGACGGATGAAGAACTTAAGAAACTATATGAAACCCATGAGAGGCTGCTAGATCTTGTTTCACTATTTTGTTATGTTCCAAGGGCGAAGTATCTACCTCTAGGGCCAACAAGGTGCATTTTTTTTTTTTTTTTAAAATCTTAATGCACTGTCTTTGGGTCACACTGGAATAAAGCTATCTTTACATTGACTTGAAAATACATAATTGATTTTGGTTTAGGACATATTCATAATCAGAATAATGATTTTCTGCTGTTTGTTAATGAACTTATATGTTGTTAGAGATGTTTTTGTTCTTAGTATTGTTTTTATTTTTGAGAAGAATGATTATTGATAGATATGTTTTCAATTTTTGTTGTTCCTTCCTGATTATATAGTTTGGAAAGTTTTTTTAATTCAGAGCTTGAAATTCCCATGCCATAATGCCTTCTTACTATTTGCTTAGGAAGATATGGGGCCGTTACTACTGTTCCATCTACTTTTAGGTGTTTCTTGTGCTGCTATACAAATGAAGGGAATAAAAAACATTGTATTTGTCAGTCAGACCATAGATGATGACTTTACTTGGGAAAATATTTTGACACCGCTTATTCCATCAATTGAAGTTTTTTTCACATTGTTTCTTTTATCATCTTTCCAATTCTAGTGCAAAGTTTGAAATGGAATTTTCTTGAGAAGTTCTGTGGAATTTTCCGTAAATGCTTTTTACATTGTGATATTATTATGGCATCATTTATTTTATGAGCGCTGTGCTTGTTCACATTCTTTCTCCACATATCCACTCTCACTTCTTTTTGTTCTCAAATTACAACAGTGCAAAACTTATTGACATCTATCGCACTCGGCATAATATAAGCGCATCAAGTGGCCTCAGCGATCCAGCTGTAGCTACAGGGATTTCAGATCTTATTTATGAAACTAAAGCTACACCTGCTGAGCCCGATTCACTTGATGATGACCTAGTAAATGCTTGGGCAACCAATCTCGGTGATGATGGTTTGTGGGGAAACAATGCACCTGCATTTAATAGGGTAAGAAGTTTTACTTATTTAATATTAAAGACCTTTTGTTCTCAAGAATAATAATACTTAATTTTGGTTGATAGCAGACTTTCTTTCTTCTTTTTTTATTTTATTTTTATGTTTCCCTTACCATGCTATGTCAGTTCTGAATTGGAAGTTATCATTTTTGTTGGATGCTAATGGACATTAAATCTTAATTTTATCTTACATTGACTTCAGATGCTAAAAGTATATTTTAATTATGGATTTGAGTCATTTTATTCATCTTTGAACAAAGTATTATGTTATCTCATCTTGATGTTAGGTTAACGAGTTTCTTGCTGGTGCTGGTACTGATGCTCCTGATGTTGAGGAGGAAAACATTATTTCTAGACCTTCAGTTAGTTATGATGATATGTGGGCGAAGACGCTTTTAGAGACTACAGAAGCAGATGTATGAATCTGAATACCTTCATTTACTCATGTTTGCATCCCCAGAAAGTTCTGAAAAGACTGATCTACTTGTTGATTGTGTTCCTTTTTATTGTAGGAAGATGATGTGAGATCATCAGGGACTTCTTCCCCAGAGTCAGCAGGTTCCGTTGAGACATCCATATCATCCCACTTTGGTGGAATGAATTACCCGTCACTGTTCAGTTCAAAGCCGTCTACCTATGGGACTTCACAACCTTCGGTATTTAACTAATACGACGAGACTAATTCAAATTTAATCATATTACTATCATGATTTTGGTAATTTTTTTAGCCAAATTCCTTTTGTCAATCTGTCTAATTAAGTATAAGAAGCTTGATGCAGTTTATATACCTTGATTCCATTTCTTTCTTTCTTTCTTTCTTTTATTTATTTATTTAATTTTAGGAGAGAGATATGGAGATATCGTGGACTTATTACTAAATTAGAAAACGTAAAGTGTGGACCAGAATTTGAAAAAAAGGATAGATTGGCTCGATTATTACTTGAGAACAATCTAGCATCTCTGTTTCTTCTTCTTCTTCTTTTTCTTTCTTTCTTTCTTTCTTTCTTTTCTTTTATTTTTTCCCCAAGAAATATGGTTAAAATTCTAGATTTGCAATTTCTTAAGATATGTGTTTAATCCCATGGATGTGGCTGAAGAGCCAGTGGTGTGCTTCGGACGATAATAACACAAATGATAACTTCCAGTTACGCTCATAAATCCATTGTTGCTGTTGTTACTGCTGATGGTGATCTCATCAGCAAACTTACTGTACATATTATAGTAGTTTCCTTCACTGAACACAAGCTTTAATCATCTGTTACGTTCTGGAGCCTTCTGCTAAAGATATCACTTCCGGTTCAAAGTTTCTTCCTGCCTACAAGTATTCAACTTAAATTCATCATTGCTAAACTACATCCTGCTTGTCATTAATTGCCATCGGATTTGTGGCAAAAATTATATTTTTTTTCCTTTTTCTTCTTCCACCTATGCTATTTGTTCATTGAAGGTTGTTTTTGGACTGGCGGAACACTCAAAGGTTTCAAGTTTTATAAGCAGTGCTAGACCATTTGTTTAGTCCCCAAATATCTTTTTATTACATTTCAGCAACAACCATTTTGGTCTACTTGGTATGGTTAAGGCCCCCCCACAACAGAAGAGAGAGAGAGAGTGAACTTGTAATGGGTACATGTTAGAGTTAATGGGATGAGATAATGGTAAATAATACTTCGAAGAAAAATGCTATGAGGGAACTGAAATTATTCTGCGTATAATCTGATTTAAATAGAAACGCATTTGTTCATGTTTGAATTTTGGTAAAGTTTTCAATATGTTGCCTGCCAAAAAAAAAGAGGAGAAATAAGTACTGTTTTTGCAGAGTCTTAGTAAAAGAAACCCTAGGGAAAACCCATAGCTCCACTTTGCAGTTGCTCATGTGTTATTTATTTATTATTCATTTGGTAAGTAGTTGCTGTTGTGTTATTTATTGTTGTGCTGTTCATTTTTTGTTGTATCAAGAAATACAAGTTTTCACATCCTAACATATTAGTTATTAAAATTAGATTGACTGTAAGTATTGTTTATCCAACTTTACATTGCATCAAATTAAATATATATTACTCTTTTTGGATCCCCATGTTAAGTGTGAGGAAGCTACGTAACAGAAGGAAGAAAAGAAAGATAAGCCTTTTCTAATTATGAAGAGACAAAGATGAAACTTTCTGAATTTTAGTTTTTATTGAAGTTATTGTTTTTCTTCAGGTGGAATAAGAAATACAAAGTGAAATGAAATTTTATTTATTTTTTGAGTTCTTGTTTTTCTTCAGGTGGAATAAAATATACAAAGTGAAACGGGAACACTGTATAATTTGATTTTCAAATGATGTTAGTTCTTGATTGTTCTACATCTATTTAGAAATCCATGATAATGATAATAGAAAGAAAAATCAAAGTTATTTTCCTATCAAAAGCAGATTGATTCCTTTTACTGACCAAGCAATGCCAGCGCTGCGTAAGGCCCGTAAAAGAGTTGATGAATTTTCTTTGTTATACTAACAACAATATGGCACTTGTTTTTGAAAATGATCTCCTGATACAGTTTAATTGCCTGAAACAGGAAAGGTCGGCTCCAAGCAGATTTAGCAATCCTTCCACTGGTGGTACCTCAATGTATGAGGGTCTTGGCTCTCCGGTTAGAACTTCAAACCTGTCCTTTATTTAGCTTTGTTATGATGTCAGCCTATGCTTGCTAATTCCTCGAGCATGTTCAGATTAGAGAAGAGCCTCCACCATACACATCACCTGCTCTGCAAAGATTCGAGTCATTTGAGAACCCCTTGGCTGGGAATGGTTCAAACAGTTTTGGGTCCCATGATAAGGAACAAGCTTCTTCAGGGAATCCGCAATTTGGAACGGCACTTTATGATTTCACTGCTGGCGGTGATGATGAGGTAACTTAACTCTTAGAGACTATAGTTTTTTTCTCAATTATGAGCAATTGGTTTTACAATCTTTCGGCATCCTTCCCCTTTGGGTCACTTTGATTCCTCCTAGAAATTGGTAACCTGAGGTTTTATAGTGATTGAACACGTGATGTTCTGCAGAGAAAGTAACTGGAATTCATATACTGTTTGGTAGGCTAGGGTTTTTGCCATTTAATGTGTCCCATGCATCGCAGTCTTCTCGGAAAATCATTCTTTTCTGTTCGATTTGGACTTTTGGTTGGTTTGGTGGAGATGTAGATTAATTACTGTTTTCGTTCCTTGCAGCTAAACCTGACAGCAGGTGAGGAGGTCGAAATTGATTATGAAGTAGATGGCTGGTTTTATGTAAGTTGACAGCATTATCTATTTATTTGTTCGTCATCTTTTAGGGTTGGTGTGGGAGATTTGGGAAAACTTAAAATACAGAACAATGATCACATATTATTCTTTTTTGGAGTGTGATTTGTTTTGGAAAGTAAACACTAAACAGAAGAAGGCCCTTGAAGATAAGGATTTGTAGAAAGACTCCATATAGATATAATTACTTAGAATGTTACATAGTTTAATTGGTTTTCTTTTTTAGTGATAAAAATAAATTGAATTCATTATATATATTCCGTCCAATTTATTTTATTTTATTTTATTAAATTGAACTAAAAGTCTTTATTTGATATAATTTTAATCCCATGTCCTTTTTTATCCTTCTAAATCTTCTAAATTGTTATTATATATTTTATTCTTTTAACTCATTTTTATTGTTTAATTAGTATAAGATTCAAAAATGTATAGACTTAATTAATATTATTTATGTTAATGTACTACAATAAAAAATATTTTTTCATAAAAAATTTCTCGCCTTAGGACTCATATATATTGAGCCGGCACTGAGCTTTTGCATGTGGCCAGTCAAATGTGACTCTGTGCACGTGCACACAACATGTATACCACCACGAATGATTCTCATTGTTGGGTAAGCTATTCACTCAGCTTACCCTTTTGTAAGGTGGTCATTCTACAAGTTCTTCACTGGTGGGTGAAAAAGGTACCTTTTTGGGGGGAAGTAATTTCTTGTGTCCAGTGGGCTGATGTTCTGGCATTTTTCACTGTGGTTGCAGGTGAAGAAAAAACGGCCCGGAAGGGATGGGAGAATGGCGGGGCTGGTCCCTGTCCTCTATGTCAGTCAATCTTGATACGGTTGATATATATTAATACGAGGTCCAACAATCATTCATTGTTTTACAATCAAATCAGATCAGGTGAAGTTTTCCCGCAAGCATTCTGGAATGGCTTGGCTTATAGTTTGTTCGGTTATAAAAATGCAAGTAGCAAGAGGTCCCTTTTCGGCTGATTGACTTGGCCTATAGTTCTTGGGACTTGCTTTCCCACCTCTTTTAACCATTGACTCAGGTTTTCTCGATATTCTTTCCGTTTTTGGCTGAGTTGAGTGAGCTCATTAGGAGAATTAGCCAGTGCGTGCATTTTATATTTATGATCTTGTGTGTAACATAGTTTTGCCGTGGTGTTACAGTTTTCACCGGTATATGTCGTGTAATTGTAGAAACTTATTTCTTTAGTTACAAACAGTTTTTATAGTGATAATATCTATATATATATATATATATATTTTAATTATTGTGATTTTCACCTTACTTGCAATATAATAATGATAATATATTATTTTTAATTTAATTAAAAAATATATATAATAACGTTTTCGTGTTTGTGGAACAAAGTTCCTCTCCAGGATGGGGGGATTAAGTGGTGCCAATTTACCTTATGTCGTCGGGAATTTATCAAAATATTATACTTACAAGCTTTTATCATTTTAGATGGTGAATTTCATGACTATTATTAGCGATTAAAAAATTTGTGAATTTCTACCATTATAGATTTTATTGAAGTGGTAAAGTTTGAAAAATAATTGTACCAAGTTTACTAGAGAGGATTTTAAATTCGCAATCAAGTCCTGAGTTTATACAAGCCCGTACGTGCTTATATCCTTTCCATTTGGGCTAGTTCAATGAAAGATTCATTTAGGTAAATGGTACACGATATAAAAACAATTGTTGTGCTTCTAGAAAAATGATTTTCACTTGGCGTATGTTTGGTATACTGGAAAAGAAAAGAAAAGAAAAGAAAAGAAAAGAAAAGAAAAGAAAGGATAAGACTAGTTTAGAAGAGAAAAGGAGGAAAAAAAACAGAAAGTAAAGAAATGAGAGAATAAAGTTGACCATTTATTGTGTTAGGTTAATTAAGAAAGCAAAAAGTAGTAATCTTATTTGGGAAAAGAAAAGAAATGAAAGTATTATAACGAATTTATTACTATACTCTTTTCATTAAAAAAGAATTAGATTAATTAGAAGAGAAAAGGAAAGAAAAGGAATTAAAGAATATAGTTAACCATTTATTATGTTTGGTTGATTAAAAAAGGAAACGATAGTAATCTTGTTTTGAAAAAGAAGAAAACGAAAGTATTATAGCGAATTTATTACTATTCTTTTCATTAAAAAAGTTAGTATTTTCTTCTCTTTCTTCCTATTTTTGAAAGGATAACAAAACCAACATATCATATATAATTTATTTCTTTTTGGATCCCCCCTCCTTTCTTTTATCTTAAAAATTCATCCCAAACATAACATTTGATTTCCTTCCAATCCCCTCCAACCAAAGTGGGCCCTAGTCAGGCTTGGTATAATCGAATTACTTTTAACCTTTAGATGCATTAAAATAAGTCAACTCTATTGGGCCAGACAAATAGGCCTATACAATATTACTCGTGCATCTATTCCAAGTGGGGTTAGGGTTAACAAATGAATGTGCATTCAAAGAAAAACTAAAATCTTAAGAGACCATGGAGTTGGAGCTTTAAATGCTTCATTTTCTTTCAAGGAAACAAAAGATAGGAATTTCAAGTAGCTAATAAACTGAGTAATTTGAAACATTGTTAAATGGGCATTAATTTTATTTTTAATGCAGCTCTTTGGACCAGCCCATGGATTTATGAAAAGAAAAGATCTGATGAGAACTATTTCCACATATCATTTTCGAAATAAATTATCAACTTTTTGAGTAGTTAGTGTCAACTTAATTTGTAGTTGGTCAATTCACGAGAGGATGGTTACATGTGAAAAATAGTGTTATTTGTTCTTATTTTAGAACTAAGGTTAGACCCCAAATGGAATCAAAATGAAAGCCGAAACCAAAATATCCTCTAAAAAGTTTTTTGTAGGGTTAGAACATAATTGAACCTGCATAAATCAATCCTACCAAAGATTGTTGTGTGACATGGTAACACTAGACACATTAACAAATTTTCGAATGATGTAAACATTAAACTACAGATTTGGACTCGGTCGAATTTTTTTTTTTTTTTTTTTTTATTGACACGAAACACATATCCATCTCGAAGACTTTTTCCCTTCAAATATTTTCAAATCGCCATCCAATGATCAAAACATGTCCCGTCAGCACTTTTGTAACCTGCTCATAATGTTTGGTTCTACACGCAATTTAATCAAAACAAAAATGATAATGATAATGTGGTGTTTTTGTAACCGTCAAATTTAAACTTAGAGAGAGAAAATATTGAAGAGAATCCGTACTTAAACTAAATAAATCATATCAAAGATGACTGTGTTACATGGTAACACTAGGTGCATAAAAAAAATAAATTTGACATGATGTGGACATTAAACTACATTTCATCAATTAAAGTGGTAAATCCATCGAGAATGGAGGTGCATTAAAGGTCCAACTGCTAAATGCAGCCTAGTTTTAATGACATTGTAACCCATGCATTTAATTTGGCAGTCATCTACAGGGAAGCTTAAGGTGGACCAACAATCTGGTGCATGCTCTCTATGTGGAAGCCACTTTACCCTCCACAATACCACCAAATCTAGTGCATGCCCTCTATGTGGAAGCTACTTTGAGTTGCGCGTGGGCCAAATGCTCCTTGTTGGTAAAATAGGCGTGGGGAGTGGTTGGATATATTCGAGGCACGTAAAGTGAGAGTGTGAAAATAGTAAAATTGAGAATCGGAGTGCGCTCGAAATATGAGAGAAAGAGCGCGACGTGAGAACAACATTCATTGAGAAGAATTATGTGACTTAGAGTTAGATCCCCTTTCTTGTATTTTGCTAATCAGCTGTCCTCGGCTGAGAGTTTTGCTTAAAATTCTCGACTTATAATTTTATAAAGTATTTTTCTTTTATTTTACTTGTACTCCGTCTTTACCGGCACACCTGTTTGGCCCAACCCTTTGCTATAAATAACATAAATTTGTTGAAGAATTGCACCCGGCAAGACAGTAAACAATAAATTTGCTAGTGTTTAGGATTCAAGTCTGTATAGAAATATCAATGGCCCGCTAGTCCAACAATATAACCTCTTTTCTTTGTTGATGAATTCTATCTTAAACAATAAATTCGTTAATTCAGTAATATAACCTCTTTACCTTGAAAAGGAAGGTGAGGGTTTAAACCTAAATTTGTAAAATGTGTATCCTAGTTTACTAAATTTTAAAAAATAAAAAAACTTGTGTGATGGATATATAGGACAGAAGAAAAAAGCAGTAATGTAGGGTAGGGTCATGTGCAAGATAGAAAGACCATAGATTTGTATAGTGACTAATACAATTGATTACTAATGTTTGGATGATTGAATTGAATGTTACACTTTTTGGTAGTTAATTAATAGGAGGTCAGTTGCTTGGAGAAATGCTGTCATTGTTGGTTGGTTACACCTGCCTCTTAATGTAAATACAGAACTAGAGACTCATCCATCAATAAGTGCATGCATATATGCCACCACACACACACACACACACACACACAATTTAATTAGCTAGCTAGATTGATTACACACACCAAATTAGAGTTTTATTTTAATATTTTATTAATAGAACATGAGATTATAATGATTAGCATGAGCAGAATAATCAGTAATAACTGTTGAAGTGGTGTCTTGATTTCCTTACAAAATAGAAGTTTAAAAAATTATATTAACAACTTAATTCTGTAACAAATTCTTCTTCCGTTAAACGGAACACCATGAATGTCAGCAAATTAATTTTGCCCTTTGGTGTGATTTTTTAAATATAAAGAGGAGGTCAATGTAATTACTCAAAAAAAAAAAAAAAAAAAATGAAAAAAGAAAAAAAATTCCTTCGTCGGTGGAAGGTAAAATTTTATAAAGGCATACTGTAGAAAGAAAAGAGGTACAAATAGAGAGATGGCCTACAAGCTGAGAGACAAGCACAGCAAAAGCAAGAAAGACCAACACATTACAATAATTGTCCTATTTAGTATCTGCAGCACCACCTTGGAGGAGGATATATATATATTGTAACGTAGTTGGAACATTATATATATAATTATATATATTTATATATATATATAGCTTCCAAAACTCCCACTTCATTGACTCAGTACTGGTAGCTAGGTGGTTCAATTGAGCTATCACCCTCTTAGTTAGACGTTAAACTACGATCGCTAATACTTCTTGAATCCAAGGCTAAGAAATTTCAACTTAATTAGATTACAATGACAGGTTTCCATAAAAAGCTATTAATGTTAATTAAAGTTCTTAAATAATACTTAATTTATCTCTCTCTATCAAAAGGAGCATACGGCCATGACAGTGATTGCTAGGTTAGATAAATAAATGTCCACCTGAAACTCAAACTCCTCACCTTTCTCGTTTGAGGGAGGAGATGTGACTAAATGACTCCTAGTTGTCTTTTTCTTTCTTTTAGTGGTATAATAGATTATCATTATTATTTTTGGGGGTAAAACTGAAATAAGGAAGATTTGTGACCTCATAAAGGAATTCCTAAATTATTAGTTTCCTTGTGAGAGGCCCAGGGAGGCAGAGAGTCACTATCCCATAACTTATGTATGTTGATATATTGTTATTAATCAACGGATCATATGTATATATAGGTCTTATATACTTAATGAGCATGATAATGACTTCAAAGCTTTTAACATCACAAGAAATCACACACTCACAACAACAAATTAAACAAGTCCGTGTCTCCGTAACATCACTAACCATGCATGTGTATATATATATTTCAGATCGATTAATGAAAGCCTTTTTTTAGTGAGTCCTAGTCCTAACCTGATTGAGGTTAATTTGGTTAATAGTTTGCACGGACCGTGGGGAAAAAAATATTATGTTTCATATATATATATATATATATATATATATATATATATGTACACACACACATTCTTATACTTACTTTTTATTAGGTTGAAGACTTAAACCTTTTACTTTGAAAAGCAAGAAAGTAACACTAGACACTAGGCGTAATATTTGAAAGGCAAAAAACGTAGCACTAGACAGTAGGTGTAACTGGTGCGTTTGTATCCAAAATTTTAAGTTATTAGGTAGTGTTGCATTTCATCTGGATGCGATGTGAGACAAGTACCCTTGTAACATTTTTTTCCACCTGAACTCACAACACCCTCGTTACGGTTGAGCCACCATGCCTTCTCGAGTGGCTCACTTGGATGCTTTCCGGGCCAAGCGCTTGGTGTGGCACCGGATTTAAGCTTGAGTTTGGCTCTGATACTAACTGTAATGGGTGTGTGCTTGCCCATTTATCCAAAAGTTTAAACTATTAGGTAGTACTAC